CTGGGACTGGCTCGTCTCTCAGAGTCCGTATGGTAAAAAGTACCGGGTGCAACACTATCTACCTCTCAGTGTATAAGCAGAAAATGTTTTACTTACTAGGGCAGCTGAGTGCCTCCTTGGCAGTAATACTCTTGTTGCATGCTGTGCAGAGTGTGGTTCCTGACACTGTCAGTGAGGTGAAGAGATGACCATTGCTGTAACTTGCCTCCCTCTCCCTTGCTGCCTTCTCTCGTTCTCTCATGCGCTCTCTCTCTTTATTCTGGAAAAGAAAGAGAAATAAAATATGAAGATGACTGAAAATGAGTTAGCTGTCATGGAAACAGCAACACTACGTCACTGTGGATGTGTTAAACTACCTGTGGCACAAGGCAAAGTACAGCACCAACCACTGTTGTAAGTGAGCCCCCTAACTGGAGCAGAGTTGACATTCAATAGAGGGATGATTAACATAGTTAACTGTACAGAAATGTTAAGCGGCAGGGCAGGTCAATAATGATGGGTGGGGGTGGGGTAGTTAGTGATGCTTTTCAGGCTACTCCACACAGACGAGGGGTCGTTAGCTGTAAACCAGTTTTTATCTTTTCAGAGTAGCTCCTCTCTGCTGCTCTGATCTCCCTTGTCAGTGTGTCCCTGGCTGCCTGTACAGGATCCTGTCCCCACATCTATAGGCCTCGTCTTTGGCACGATGAAGCTGCTTGAGTTTTACTGTTGTTGTATGTGCGGGTCTCGGTGGGCACACACACATCCTCACAAAAGCTGATGTATGACGTCACAGTGTCACTGAGTTCGTCCAGGTCTGTAAACGTAGCCTCAGAAACATTCCAGTCTGTGCAGTCAAAGCAGGCCTGTAGCTCTGACTTTGCCTGCTCAGTCCATCTTTTCGCTGTTTTGACCACAGTTTCTGCACATATGTTGGGATGAGATGAACCATACAGTGATCAGAGAGTCTGAGGGCTGCATAGGGGACAGGGTGATAGGCGTCTTTTATTGTTGTGTAGCAGTGGTCCAGTGTGATTTTGTCCCTAGTGGGACAACTGACATACTGTTTGTATTTGGGTAGGTGGTGGGTGTGAAGGTGTGATTTGCTCTGTTAAAATCCCCTAGAACGATGAGTGGAGTGTCGGGATGTTTCAGTTCCATGCTAGTGTAAGATTTGAGTCTTATAGACTCTAGTTACTTTATGAGCTTTAGTTACTTTTCACAGCTGTAGTTCCCTTTAGTTAATTTTCATAACTTTATTTTCCTTGTCTATACATATTACAGCTGTATTGTAGCCGGGGGCTACAACCTGAGATGACCACCTGGCCAGTTTAACACACTTATTAGCATCACACACACACACACACACACACACACACACACACACACCTAGATTTACCATATTTCAACATGGAAGTGCGAGCTCCAGCTCACACCAAATGACCAATAGGATCATAAACTATTGAAGGTTGCACCCCTGTCCACGGCAGAGCAGCCCAAGAAGATAAAATGTATTGTAAGAACTTAATTCGGGGTTCAGTTGATGGAATTCCTGCGGGAGCTCTGTCTCTCTGATCCCAGCACTGTAAGGCCTACCTGTGCTCAGACTTTCAGTAAACCTTGTTGATTTTAAAAGGTCCTCTCCTGTCTTCACTTCTCGTGCTTCCAACAAAAGAATTGGGTTAATTTCTAACAAATGGTGCCGTGACCCAGAAGGAACGACTTTGAGTTAGTGTCCGACAGGGGACCACAAAGCGAGATCGGTGGAGCCCTCTTCAGACAATTTGCCGGCATTCATAAAAACAGGTAAGCAGAATACCTGTTCTATAATATAGAGAAATTCTGCACATTGGGCACTCTAAAACGCTGAATTGTCTGATTGAGGATCTTCCCCGATCGGTAAATTGCTTTAGAAGAGGGTTAATTTCTAACAAATGGTGCCGTGACCCAGAAGGAACGACTTTGAGTTAGTGTCCGACAGGGGACCACGAAGCGAGATCGGTGGAGCCCTCTTCAGACAATTTGCCGGCATTCATAAAAACAGGTAAGCAGAATACCTGTTCTATAATATAGAGAAATTCTGCACATTGGGCACTCTGAAACATTGAATTGTCTGATTGATGATCTTCCCCGATCGGTAAATTGTTTAAAACAGAAGTAAAGCATTTTATCTTTGTCTGAAGTCTGATTACATGTAGAGTCTTAACCACATAGCCTCACGTGAGGGAGAGTTCATGAGTGTCCTAGCCAGTAGATCATTTGGCCTTATAAAAGACATAAAATCCAACAAATAAATGGATAACCACTGAAGGGTTGTCTTCCAAATTAAGTAGGACATTTGATACCATTTTTTCCAGGTTTTATAAAATAAAACTTGATGCCGCAATGAGGCAATGCCGAGAATAAGCTTGATGCCGCAATGAGGCAGAGTCACTATATTGTGAAGTTTGGTTAAAGTTAAATTATTAATAAGGACACAGAGATATGTAAACTGACAAATGAGTAATTGATACTTCAGTATAATAATTCTGCCGATTTGAGCATTTGGTAGAAACGCTGACGATTGATGCTGTAGTAAACTGACGAATGAGTAATTAATGCTTCAGTATAATAGCCTGCCGATAGAACATTCAGTGGAAAACGCTGACAAATGATGTTGCAGTGATAATATAGCCTCTATGAGGTCACTGGGATAAGTTTGTTATTTTTGGGGATGGTTTCCTGCTTGAAAGAGGTATGGACTGTGTCTGAAAAGCAGCGTATCAAACAGTTTACGTTTGAGATTTGTGGTACTTAATTTACAGCTCTCAAGTAGTTTTGTTTTGGCAGGACAATAGGCTAGTAGTTTGGGGATACATAGTGTAAACTTGTTAATACGTGTTTGTTAAAGTTACTATGGCACAAAAGATGCTGGAATGGCGGAATGAATGTGAGCCCGGCAACTTGGGGTCAGTACTGTATGGAACAGCCATGAGATGGGGAAGAAAGTTCTTGGGGAAGATGAAAAGAAAGAATTAGAAAGATTTACTAGTTGGGTTTAAGGTATGCAAGATAGAGGGACATTTGGAGGCTGTGAATGTGCTCCATCTAACATGAGTGATTTAAGTAGTTTTAAAGCAAGTTGCGGTAGGTTTTGAAGCAGGATGAAAACAAAGGAGCACGTGGCAGGAAAACTGCAAGATGGTGCTGTGAATGTACATAGGAGAAACCACCGACCAGACTTTGGACTATGACTTACCGACTGTACCTGGTGGCCACAATGACTGACTTGAAACTGTGACTATCTCCTTTGTCTAATAATGTATATATTCAATTGCAGGAAGAGTGATTCTCCCAGAATTTGTGTGGGAGACCAACTAATTTGCTTTATTCCACAGGTGGAGGAAAGCGCTGCTGTTATTATAATGTAAAACTAACACTATGACTAACTGTTGTAAATAATTTGTTTCAAATGTTTGCAAGCTGCATTTGGGGATCCTCTGCCATTCGTCCTTGCAGATCCTCTCCAGTTCTGTCAGGTTGGCTGGTAAGCGTTGGTGGACAGCCATTTTCAGGTCTCTCCAGAGATGCTCAATTGGGTTTAAGTCAGGGCTCTGGCTGGGCCATTCAAGAACAGTCACGGAGTTGTTGTGAGGCCACTCCTTCGTTATTTTAGCTGTGTGCTTAGGGTCATTGTCTTGTTGGAAGGTGAACCTTCGGCCCAGTCTGAGGTCCTGAGCACTCTGGAGAAGGTTTTCGTCCAGGATATCCCTGTACTTGGCCGCATTCATCCTTCCCTCCATTGCAACCAGTCGTCCTGTCCCTGCAGCTGAAAAACACCCCCATAGCATGATGCTGCCACCACCATGCTTCACTGTTGGGACTGTATTGGACAGTTGACGAGCAGTGCCTAGTTTTCTTCACACATACCGCTTAGAATTAAGGCCAAAAAGTTTTATCTTGGTCTCATCAGACCAGAGAATCTTATTTCTCACCATCTTGATTTTAGCATATGGCTGCAATATAACAAAGAGTGAAAAATTTAAGGGGGTCTGAATACTTTCCATACCCACTGTATGTGAACGGTGGAAAGAGAGCAAATATGGCACCTTGGGGTCGGTACTGCATGGGACAGCCATGAGATGGGGAAGATGAAAATAAAGAATTAGAAAGTTGTACTGTTTGGATTTAAGGTATGCAAGATAGAAGGACATTTGGATGCCGTGAAGGCACTCCAGCTAACATGAGTGATTTAAGTGGGTTTTAAAGCAAGTTGCAGTAGGTTTTGGGGCAGGATGAAAAACAAAGGAACACGTGGCAGGAAAATTGCAAGATGGCGCTGTGAACGTGCACAGGAGAAATTACCGACCATACTTTGGACTCTAATCTCTGACTGACTGACTGTACCTGGTGGCCCCAATGACTGACTTGAAACTGTGACTATCTCCTTTGTCTAATAATGTATATATTCAATTGCAGGAGGAGTGATTCTCCCAGAATTCGTGTGGGAGACCAACTAACTTGTTTTATTCCGCAGGCAAAGGAAAGCGCTGCTTTTATTATAATGTAAAACTAACACTATGACTGTTGTAAATAATTTGTTTCAAATGTTTGCAGGATACTGTGGAGTTGCTTTTATATGTCTGATTACTGTTCCATGTTTGTCCTGATGTTTACCTGTTTGTGCTGTTCCATGTTCGTTGTGTTGAATAAATACAGCCGATTGAGCGCTAATAATCAGTGGTTAACGAACAAAGACTGAATAAGCTAAATGTCCGCTATAAATGTGTCTAGATTGGTTTAAAGCAGACCTGGCCATTTTACGGCCCGCAGGCCACATCCGGCCCTTTGGGCGTCCCTGTCTGGCCCGCGTGAGGTCCATCAAATCAGAACATGAATGAAAAAAGTTCATGGGTGAACTTAAGATCCCCGATCTACTGGGTGAGAGACAGGTGATGTTGGCCAGCTAACCCTCAAAATGTCAACTCATGCCAAAAAAAGAAAAGTTGATGCCGAATGCTGCGTTTTCAACAAGACATCGACTGGAAAGTATTTGTTTACAGAACTCAAAGGTAAAGTGGTGCGCTTAGTTTGTGAGCAGGCAAAGGAAAGCGCTGCTTTTATTATAATGTAAAACTAACACTATGACTGTTGTAAATAATTTGTTTCAAATGTTTGCAGGATACTGTGGAGTTGCTTTTATATGTCTGATTACTGTTCCATGTTTGTCCTGATGTTTACCTGTTTGTGCTGTTCCATGTTCGTTGTGTTGAATAAATACAGCCGATTGAGCGCTAATAA